GATCTTCCGCGCTCATTCCATACTATATTTCTAAACTTATTTTGTAGTTCAATAACAACTTCTTCAAAGCTAATACGTTTGTTTGGATCAAATTTACAACATCTCTTGATAACATGTTTCAATTTACCGGGGGCATCTTTTTGCTCAAGAATCTCATCTAAATCATTAATATCTTCACGAACTTTAATATTCAAGAGATTCTTCATTTTTTACGTCGGGATATAAGCTATAAATTATATAAAAATTATAAAATATTAGTTATATTTAATAATTACAATAAAAATACTTCACACAAAGTATTAGTTATATTTAAATAATATTTAATAATTCAAATAAACATACTTCATGCCGTTTGTCGCGATTTCCCACACAACTAATCCGTAACTATAAATATCTACGCAAATGAAAATAATTTGTTTGAATAAAAAAATTCATAAATCATGGTTTCTTTAAATGTAACGATTTAAAAATTTACCTGAAAGCTGCGGCTGATCTTTATAATGTTTTGCCAATGCTTCATTTTTAAGTAGTTTTGAAAATCTTGAATCATCTTCGAACTTTTTAAATGGTTTGGGGTTATAAGCAATACGTTCAGGTGCCCTCCATTTAAGAGCTCCTAATGAAATTTAAAAAAAAATTTACTATAGGATATTCTTATTTTTGAAAGCATCAAATTATTTACTTACCCCCAGCTTGTTCCCCAATGCTTAACGCCTCTTTTGTAGTACTTAAACCAAAGTCAGCAATCTTTAATATCAAATGTTTATCTACTAAAATATTATCTGCTTTAAGGTCAGAGTGTACGATTCCATTTTTATGGCACTCCATCAAGCCATTTGCGATATCGACTGCCATTTTGGCTTTTATGTTCCAATCATGCTCATTTTTTTCAAGGTAATCACGTAAACTTCCCTTTTCAGCAAATTTTGTGACCAAAAACGTTTCGTCATTTGGGGACCTCACCACACCACAGAACTCAATTATATATTCAGATCGAAGATTTTTATGTTTTTTAAGTTCTTCAATTATTTCTTTAATGTCATTCCTACTGAATTGTTTAACTAAAAACAGGGAAAATTTTTTAATATATATATATATATATTTACATCAATACATCAAGAAAGGTTTCAAAAAAAGAAAATCCCAGCAACTTTTTTTCCCTTATATTCTCCAAGAACAACTTCACCTGCTGATCCTTTACCAAGTTTTGTTCCTGTCCATTTAATTTCCTCATAAAGGATAAAGATATCATCCATATCTAATAAATAAGTTTCCAAAGACGATTTTATAAAATTTTAATTTTTGTTTTTCCTACTTCGCTGATAAAGAGTTCTTTTATAGCGTTTTTATAAATGCATAATTTACTGTCTCACTACCTGGTTTTTGGCAACAAAAGATTTCATATCTAGTGATTATTGTCGAATTTTTTTCTCATGTACATACGTACGGTGCGAGAAATTTAAGAACCACTATCTCCTTATAGAGACAAGTATAAACAAGTTATTTCCTAAATTATTGGCATCACTTTATTGAAGTCGATAATTTGAGAAAATTTAAAAAATAATATCTTTAAAGGATTTCTTGCAGTTCTGCAGTATAGGTGACGCCACTAATAAAATGTATTATTAGTTAATCAATTGATTTAGGATAGGTATCACCTATACTTCAAAAGATCATTCTGTGCCAATACGTACGTACGTAGGATACAAGAAATATAAAAACCACAATATCCTTATAGAGACAAGTATGAACAAGTTGTTTCCTAAATTATTGGCATCAATAAAGTGAATGCAGAAAATATTAACGTTAATCAGTTCTAGAATAATATGCAAAAAAGAAAACTCATTGAAATAAGTTATTCTCAATTTGTTTTAGTAATATTAATTTTATTTTTGGCATATTATTTCTATGCGAAAAGTGATGAAATTTTCTCTTTCTTGATTAGGAAATGCTTCAATGTGCATTACATAAACAAGTTATGCCCTAAAATTATTGGCATCAATAAAGTTTGTACATAAAAAAAACTTATTCCTTGGCATCAAGACAGTGTGTACATAAACATTTTATTGAAATCGATAATTTAAAAAAATTTTAAAGTTAATTATTGCAGCTTGCATATTTGATGTAACTTT